GATAGAATAAGCCCAGAGGTCCTCGAGTCAATTTTTTCTTATCCCCATCTTTCATAATTTAATTATCATTTTTTTTTCATTCCATTTTCTTTAAGGCGACGTGAAAGTGGCACCTGAGGGATCGGAAATTAATAATTTTCTCCTAACTGGGTGTACCGAGTTATTTCAAACTTTACAACGTGAATGTGAAGGCTGTATAGATGGTCCCGAGAAATTTCATTTTTTTTTTAATAACTAATTTAAAAAAATATCTTTAAATAATTTCATTCGCGGACGCTTAGCGAACTCGTATCTTTGTTTTGCATTCATTCGACGGGAACTCGACACGGAGAGTCTTGGTGGGCGAGATTACACGATCTTATTATTCAAACCCGGTTGGCAGGGGATATTGACACAATGATATTGACAGAATGATATTGACTCGGCAACGTTGACAGGTCGCCTTGCGTGCAGACGTCTTCGGCTTACGTCCTGAGTTTACATACGGCGGTTTTGCCGTATCGAATGATTTAACGCAGAAGTGCCGGAAAAACGCAAACGATCAATCCGTTAAACGAATTAATGAACCGGAAACGGCCGACAAGGACTCGCTTTATCCTCATTCGCGACTCGTTGTTAAGCTCCATGATTGGCCAAGGCCTTCCTCGAAGCGTTTTCAATCTCTAATCTGCCGTTTAACGGCGGCTACGCCCACCTCTGCATCCACCGAAGCGCAGTCTGTGATGAATGACGAGTCACGAGCGATTTTCGTCACTCCCACTTCTCGTATATACCTCGGTCGTTAAACGGAGTTCATTGTCAAACAATTAACGAAAATTCGCCTCGTCGTTGAGAAGAGAAGTCGCTTCGGATGGGAAAAAAGTGTTTCTGGGAAACATCTCGATGAGGGAGATTAGATTAACGGCGTTTCCAATGTGTAATGTGCCGTTTAACGGTGTCTCCAATCTGTAATCTACCATTTAACGGCGTCTTCAATCTGTAAGCTATCTTTTAACGGCGTTTCCAATTTGTAATCCGCCGTTTAACGGCGCTTTCGATCTTTAATCCACCGTTTAACGGCGTTTCCAATCTGCGATCTGCCGTTTAACGGCGGCTATGCTACCTTCTGCATCCACCGAAGCGCACTATGTCCTGAATGACGATTTTAACGAGCGATTCTCGTCACTCCCACTTTTCGTATACCTCCGTCGTTAAACGGAGTTCATTGTTAGGCAGTTAACGAAAATTCGCCTCGTCGTTGAGAAGAGAAAAGTCGCTTCGGATAGAAAACGAGCGTCTCGGGGAAACATCTCGATGAGGGAGATTAGATTAACGGCGCTTTCAATCTGTAATGCGCCGTTTAACGGCGTTTCCAATCTGTGATCTGCCGTTTAACGGCGGCTATGCTCACTTCTGCGTCCACCGAAGCACACTATGTCCTGAATGACGATTTTAACGAGCGATTCTCATCACTCCCACTTTTCATATACCTCAGCCGTTAAACGAAGTTCATTGTCAAACAATTAACGAAAATTCGCCTGGTCGTTAAGAAGAGAAAAGTCGCTTCGGATAGAAAACGAGCGTCTCAGGGAAACATCTCGATGAGGGGGATTAGATTAACGTCGAGCCGGCCATTTCCCGTTTCCGTTTCCGACCTAGGGGGTGGTTTTCGTTTAGCGAGCTTTTTAATAACCGCCACCCGGATGCCCTGACCGATTTGGGGACGCTACGACGCGGCTTTTACGATCCCTCGAGGAGCCATAGACTTTTAATACGCTCTACGGGAGAGGGGAAGGAGGACCTCTCTTTAGCGGCGCAAACTCCGCCGTTATGCGGCGCACTTACTTACGCAAGGATTGGTTTAACAGTCATGCCTCCTATGAGGATCACGGGATCGTTACCGACGACCGCTCCCTTACTTTGTCGCTTTTTGTGCCCCGATGCCCGAAACGGAGCCCTTTCCCGGCCCTATCTCGCTTTAAGGGCGCCGTTTAACGGCCGGAGAATTTATGCAGTTAGCGTCAACTCGGCCTCTCTTTCCCTTACAATCCGTCGAAGAACTCACTGTAAAACGCTTCAGCCTGGCTAAGAACGATCCTTCATCGATCTCTTTTGAAGGGAAATGGTTTTTGGCCTCGTTACGATTATTTCATGACCGGTCTTCGTGATCTACCACTAACGATATTCGTTAAGAAACAAAATGCTGCCGGTAATGAATGAACCTTAAATTGCACGATAAATCGTAGCGATTTCTAATCTGTATAGTTATGTCGAGTCGAAATTTAATCACGCGTCAGATAAGTCCGTACGGATCGATTTGTAGGTACATATTTATCGTAGCGATTTATCGTTACGGATATAACCACCTTAAGGGTCCGCCATTGACTCCGTGCACCTTAATAATTAATAACGATTGCACTAGCAAAATATTTATATACTTTACGGTCAAGAATATATGCGATTCATATTTTAGTTATCACGAGGTCATCATTTTTACATATACAGAGATGGGGTTTGAATGAAGCAATAATCTTGTTAATATATCATTAGTCTAACGTAATTGTCACCAGGTATAAATAACCTCGTATTTTAACGCGAAAGAAAGAGTTTCGTTTCAATATTGCGCGTAATTGTTGAATGGTCTCGTTTTTGTTTTAACGAATCGACGAACGTGATCAAACATCGATTCAACCGTTCCACCGATTCCCGAAATTAATATAAACGATGTCCGAACGTCGACTATTATTCGGGGAGGACCGAAGGAGGACTCTCACCCTCTCTCTCTCTCCTGCAATTATCGGTCGCTGAATATGAGGAACGCGTTTGTTTGATTTAACGCGAAAGGGCGTCGAGCCGTTGGGGTGGGTGGGTGGGTGGGTGGTACAGGGGGGCTTTTGTGTCGCGTCAAAACCGGGAGGTGTGTCCCCGGAATTTCGGAATTTCGAAATTTCACGGCTGGCCGCGGTCGAACGTCATCTGGAAAAAGAGACTGCCTCGGGAAACTCCCCGAGTGTGTAACGACGTTAAACGGCATTAACGGCGCGTTAAAAAAAGAACAATAACAAAGAAGGAGAAAAAAAAAAGTTGGCAGCGAAACTACTTATCCCTTTGTTCCACTTCAAACGCCGCTAATTACTATAATAATAATAATAGGGAAGCGTTTCGTATAAACGTTACACCTAGGACGCCGGATTCGGATCGCCATAACGATATACCAACGGCGAACGTCGTCCTTGATAACTGTCGTAACGACAGAAGAAAGCATCTCCGGATGCACTTATCTCTAATCTCAATGGCTTATTAAGAGTGCCCCCGCGTTAATTCGGGGTCCGTTAACAGAATTAAGTTACAATACCCATTACGAGGTCTCGTCTCCTCTCCTTTCTTCTCCTAGTATAATTCTGTTCCTTATACTCCAAGCGACGAGGCGTCACCTTCCAAGGTAACCCCGGTGTACATCCTCTCTTAGGGGTCCTTGGGGGGCCTTGCCCCCGACCCCCCCAGGGAGGGTCGCGAGGAGGTGGGGATCCACGTAATTACACGTATACGACTTGAATAACTACCCGCACAATATACTTGGGGGGGGCGGTACGTCTCCCCCGCGTACAGAGGAAATCCATACAGGGCCGCGTGCATACGCCCCACCCCCCCCCCCCCCCCNCTCACTTGCCGCGGTGGCTTTAATTAAAATTACGTAGGTTCGCGCCTGTAACGGCGTCGCCTCTTTATTTAGGATTTTTATGAGCTTTTCATTACGCGGACACGTACCAGAGGGTGGGGCCGAGGGGCGGGGGGCCATCTCTGAAAGGCAGACATGGCCAGCGCGCGCGACCCCCCGCGAAGACCGCGGCGGGGGGAGGCACCCCATTCGCGGGTCGCGAGTGAAAGAGCACCCCTCCCCCCAGGGTGAAAGAGGAAACGGGGGCCAAAAGGAAGGGGAGAAATTTCACGGCGAGAAACGAATTGTCCTCCGAGAGGGCGAAATAATGCGCGGTAATAAGATCCCCCCCCCCCAGAAGGTGGAGGAAGAGGGGGCACGAGAGGTGACCCGTGTTTCGCGACGGCGAGGATCAGGTTTTTAAGGACTGTTGTGTTAATTGTAAAATTTAACTCTTGTCGTGATTATTTATCGCGGTTGCCCTTTTTATTGTATGGTTATTATGATAATTAAGATGATTAGGATATGTCGTCGTGGAAGGTGCGGTAAGAGGTGGCAGGATAATTAGGGACACGGGTGTAAGGATTCGTGATATCGAGGATCAGATTTTTCGGGGCTGTAGAGTTTGGCTCTTATTGCTATCTTTATCGTGGTTATCATTTTTATCAAGCGATGATGATTTTTAAGGTGTCGTCACGGGAGGTTTTATCAGAATCTTTGAGAGGTGGATTTCGCTACGTGGACTGTTTTATTAACGAGCACCGACTCGTAATTGTCATTCTCATTGCGCTTATCAGTCCTGTAATGATTTCCAAGCCACGTACCTGTATATCGGCCTTCCTTTACTCTTATACGATTTTTCAGGGAAAACTTAATGAAACTTCTTACTCTCTCGTGCCGCTCTTTCGTAACCGAGGGATGTGTTTATTAATTAAACATTTCACGAAGGTCTTAATTTTGCAGAGATATGCGTAAATTCTGAATTTCTAAGCAAACAGTTACTTAGTGTCGGAAGATTAATATCGTTCACTTTTACAATTGGTATATCAGTTTTTTTTAATTTTCTTTTTAATTTGAAAAGATTGGAGGCGCAAGACGTGTCCCTGTGGGAGGTCCGATAAGAGTTTAATGGACGAGTATAATGATGCAGGGGGGGACTAATTTATTAATGAACACCTTGACTCGTATCCTGACTTTTATTGCGGTTATCATTCTTATCGAGCGATCGAGCCTTAAGATGCCCCGTGGGAGGCGCGATAAGAGTTTGATGGGCCGCAAATGGAGGGAAAAAAGGGGCAAGTTGATTTTAAGAGGATCGATCGATCTTCCTTATCTCCTGAAGTAGTCCTTGCCTGTTCGACAGGACTCCTGAAGGGCTCCGTCGCGGCCGAACGGCCCCGGACGCTCCGCCGGCTGCGGAACGTCTGCACGCCGAACTCCTGCGGAATGGGCACCGGGGCGGACCCCGGGGGTGAGCGGCTCGACGACGGCGAGGCCTCCTTCCGGATGGCCGACCGGGACCGGGAGAGGGACGAGAAGACCCTCGGGATAATGAGTCCCTTCGACGAGCAGGAGGAGTGGGCCAAGATCTCCGAGATCATGGCCTCCTTCGGGACAGGACTCGTCCGCGAGTCGGTCTTCGTCACCGAGCTCGAGAGGGAGTTCCAGACCCGACTGGGTAAGAGGGGATGATAATAAGGAAATAATGCGAATAATTGGATTCAAGAAAAAAAAAAAATGAGATTCGTCAGGCTTTTGGGTATTTCTTTTGAATTTTGCTGTTTAATTTAGGGGTAGAAACGTTATAGGGTTGATAGGATTTCGAGGGGATGTTTGACGGGGAAAGGAGGAAGATTAATATAGGAATAATGCGAATAATTCGGTCCAAGAAAAAAAAAAAAAACGGGAGATTTGTCAGATTTTGGGTATTTATTTGAAGTTTGCTTTTTTAGGGGTAGAGAAGTTATAGGGTTGAAGGGGAATTTCCACTGTGGATGTCGTCGATTTCGAGGGGATGTTTGAGACGTGACGGGGAAAGGGGGAAGATTAATATAGGAATAATGCGAATAATTCGGTCCAAGGAAAAAAAAAAAGGGAGATTCGTCAGTTTTTGGGTCTTTATGTGAAGTTTGCTTTTTTAGGGGTAGAGAAGTTATAGGGTTGAAGGGGAATTTACACTGTGGATGTCGTCGATTTCGAGGGGGAGCTCCAAACGCGACTAAGCAAGAGGGTAAAGATGAACCAAAGAATACCACAAAAGTTAGATCCAAAAAAAGACAGGGTAGTTTATCCGGTAATTTTTTGTTCTTTTTTTTTTTTGGTTCCTCTTTTAATCTCGGGAAAATAATACAACCTCAATGGAGACTATTTTGTGGAATGCTTCAGGACTGAGCTCGGATTCCGGAAGCAGTCCGGTCGTCTCCACCACCGTGGGACAGTGGCTGTCCGGGATGAACTTGTCCGACTACGAGTCGCTCTTCGTCAATTACGGATACGACGACCTGGACTTCATCGTAAGTGGGAATTCCCACCTGCTCTTGTAACATACTTGGCGCGAAACTCTACCGAGCTAAGTAGGGTCGTGCTCAATTTTGTCATGGTTCCGATTTTTCTATCCGCAGAACGGGGTGATCGACGAGTCCGACCTGAAGGACATGGGCATCGGCAGCGAGCAGGAGCGAGCTTCCGTCCTGGAGGCCGCGTCTACCCTGAAGAGGCGCGTCGACAGGAGGACCGGCACCCTGGGCCAGTCGGTCGACGAGTGGCTTAAGAGCATCCGCCTGGAGAACTACGTGGAGACGTTCAGGAAGCACCTCTACACGGACATGGAGAGGGTCCGCAGGGTGTGGGAGGTGGAGTTGGCGGCGGTGCTCGAGATCCAGAAGCCGGCCCACCGGAAGCGGATCCTGGCCTCGGTGAGCGGGCCCAATCCGCGGGCCCCCGGCCGCAACCCGGGGGGCCCCAACCTCGAGGACCTCAACAAGGACCTCAACGCCCTGGTGAGTCCTTCTAGGCCGACGGTGATTACCCTGTATCCATTATACATGAGTTTGCCGAGGCGACCCTCCTCCTGGGGGAGGTCCCGGTCGCCTCTCCCGACCAAATCAGTCCTAATCAAATCACTCGGAAACACCCGAAGCCGTTCGCCTCCTCGCCTCCTGGAGGCGCCCTGAGGACACCGCGGACTCTGCGGACGAAATAAAGGAACGCGAAGTAACCCCCGGCTAGTTCCTCTGGGCTAATCGACGGTCCTTTTCTTATCACGCTAAAGCGGTCTCTCTTTTTTTTCTTATCATGCTAAAGCGGTCTTTTTCTTTTTCTTATCACGCTAAAGCGGTCTCTTTTTTTTTCTTATCACGCTAAAGCGGTCTCTCTTTTTTTTTTTCTTATCACGCTAAAGCGGTCTCTCTTTTTTTTTTTCTTATCACGCTAAAGCGGTCTCTCTTTTTTTTCTTATCACGCCAAAGCGGTCCTTTGAACCCGGACCCTTGAAATTCTATTCTTTTACATTTGTTTATGAAATTTCCTTAAATTTTGAATAACAAAAATTTCATCTCACGGATGTCAGGCCCTCCCTTAAGCTTCCTCCCTTACGCGATGCGGAGCGCGGAATTGGCTGCCTCGTAGAAATTCGGCGTGCTCTCCGCGCGTTTGAAAACGCGGAATTGGCTGCCTCGAAGAAGTTCCGCGTGCTTTCCGCGCGTTCGAAAACGCGGAATTAGGGCCTCCGTGTCGAATTCGCGAAGTTTCCCAAAATTCTGTACGCCCAGCTCGGAGTAGAATTTCGAAAACGAGAGACCCCCTCTGCGCTTTCGTCCCACCTCTCAGCCCATTTCTTTTGAAATCCGGGGAAAGTAATCATCCCCGAGGACCCGCGACCCGATCTTATCCCCCGGAACCCCTTCAGCAGCGCCATTAATCGCGACACCCCCTAATCGCTCTCGAGTTACGCGGAATTCGGGGGGTGGAATAAGTCCCCCCCGTGACCCCCCCACTCGACTTGTCCCGGATTTTAATCGCGGATTTCCTCCCCCCCCCAGTCTCTCCCATTTCTCCGCACCCCCTCGATGGAGACGTCTCCGTTAAGGGTTGGCATCCTCGAGCACGCTCCAGCGCGCGCCGCGCGACAACGGGAGCTTCCCGGAGACAATGTGTCGCGATCGGGGGGTGGCGGCGCCTCCTAAGGGTCGCATCTCCCCCATCGCCCCCACCCCCTTGGGGGGGCGCGATCATCCCGAGGGTTTTTCATCCGATATCGCGCGCCGGGCCGCGTTATAATGTAAATATCGCGGCTAATTGGAGGCCCCCCGACATTGTGCCGGGGGTGGCACTCGGGGGTGGCTTTCACCGCTGCTCGAGCGTCACCCCCCTCCAGGGGGAGCTTTCTGTTCCCGCCACCTCATCCGCGCGCCACTTCTCGCCTTTTATCGCCGGATCCCCGTTAATTAGCTTATCGAGCTCGCCTAATGTGCCCATCGGGGGGTGGCGTGGCAAATTGCACCCTTTCTTTTTTTACCCCCCTTTCATTCGGGTTCCTTCTTCCCCCCCCCCTTTTTTTTTTCTTTTTTCGCTATTCCGCGATAACGAGCCGATCGATCACCCTTCCGCGAGACTATGGGGTTCCTGGCCCCCTTCGGGGATATTTCTGTTTCGTCAGATGTTTCGAAGGGGAACCTTGGAAAATGGCGAGATTTTCCGGCTTTGACGTTGGAGTACGTTTTCTTTTTTTTTTCTTTTTTTTCCTGGTCGATTGTGTGGATTGGTACGGGGTGCAGATTGTGCAGAATGGGGAGGTGCGATTGTCAGAAACATTACCAATTGCCCTGGTGCCCCATGAATTTGTCGGGTAACATGTTTACATTTACCTGTAAATGCGTTCCATGTTCTCGTTTCGTCACGTTTCGTCATATGGTGTCATAATTTGTCACCTAATAAAAAAAAAAATGCATACATAGCCGCCTTTTAATTTTTTTTTGCATCGTCCGGACATTCTGCGTTAATACATGCAAGAAGGCTGTATCTCTTTTTTTTTCTTTTCTTTTCTTTTCTCTTTGGTTCCTACTTATTTTACTGATCTTTCGTATTTTTCCTCCTTTCGCGTCTGGTTCCCTCTCCAGAAGACCAACATCCAGCAGCTAAAGGAGGAGATCCGGGAGAAACTGCCGGAAGGCGCCCAGGGGAACGGGGTCCCCATAACTGGGACCAACGTCGGGACCCTCAGACACCGTAAAAACAGGCCCGCCCCCCAACCCCCCCAGAGGCCCAGCTCCCATAATGGTGCCATCTCCTCGACAGAGCAACTCGAGATCAGGGCACCTTCCGAACTTCTTTTCGGCGTGCCCTCCACCCTGAAGACACAGTGGAGGCACCAGCCGAAGGCTCTAGTCATTGGCTGCGTCACTTATGTCGCCAACGTAAGCGGAAACTTTCCTATAAGTTTCTGGGAATTATTCTCTTATTTTTCCGCACCCGGAGAAGAATCTAATTCGTCGAGAGGAATAATCGGAATATTTTCCTTACCAAGAGACTCTGGAAAATTAACGAAACGATTCACCGAAACACTTTGGTCGATTCGTGCAAACAGTTTCAATTTTAATTTTTTTTTCAATTTTTGTTTAAACATTTGCATACAAGTTTAATTCTATGAAAGATTTACTGTGAATTTAGGGTAAAAATGTGAAGTGTAGCGTATTTTTATTTTTTTTTAAATTTTTTCGGAAGGGAAACAGGAATTCAGAGGGTGGCGGAATTTCTCGTTCATAGTGGATAGATGAGAATAATTAATATAAGGGAAATGTCATCCCCCTTTTGATTTCCGCGTGTTGCAGTACCTCGGCTCCACCGTGGTGAAGGAACTCCGAGGAACCGAGTCGACGAAGAAGTCCATTCAGAAGCTGAAGAAGACTTGCCGCGACCCCAGGGTCACGCCCGACATCACCCTGGCCATCTCCTTCCGCGGAGTCCGCTTCTTGAACACCCTGACGAATGTGAGGACCAGAGTCTGAGGAATTACAGTCCGACTTTATCCGATTTAATCTTACTTCTTACTCCTTCTTATCTATTCCGACTTTATTCCCATTTATTTCATTCGTTTCACCGAGGCGCTCTTTCTCCTTCTCTCGTTTCTCCTTTTGCTCTTCATCTCGCTGAGACAGGAAAATTAATCCTGGAACCGAGCAAGAAGGGCTTTAATCTGACTTTATCTTATTTATTCCTGTTCCTTCTTATTTATTATCTGACCTTATTTTTATTTCCTTCGTTTTACCGAGGTACTCGTAATTTTCCTTAGACACGACCCTCATTTTATCCTGTGACATTTCATTTTTATATGGCAAAGAAATTAATTGGGGGGTGTTTTATTTTTTTTTTCTAATTTTTTTCTGGTGAGTGGACAGTATGGTACATGTAATGATGATTTTTTTGGCGTGACTTTTGTTGATAGGAACCGATCTGCGAGCATGAAATTCGGAATATTCATTGCGCCTGCCAGGACGCGGACGACCTCACGCACTTTGCGTATATCACGAAGGACCACGCGAGCCGTACGCACTTTTGCCACGTCTTTTGCGTGCCTACAATGGTGAGTGATGATTTCAATTTCTCACTTTCATATCCCCTTAACGAGGGCAAAGCAAATCAGAGCTAAAGGGAGGAAGAAACGGACTGGCATGAAATAGGATCGCGCCATGAAGGAGGGGACCTTTTTTCAGGACCAAGCCACGGAGGTGATCCTGACGCTGGGCCAGGCGTTCGAGGTGGCTTATCAAATGGCCCTGCGTGATAAGCTGGGCGGCCAGACGATCCGGTCCCAATCCGCGAATCAGCTGACGAGCCTGACGGGGATCCCGAACACGGTCCCCGGGTCCAACAGGAACGCCGGGACCCCGGATTTCATGCCCGACCTCAACCACGACTCGGACCTGATCCTGCAGTCCGGGAACTCCTTGACCAACCCCAAGCCCAAGCCCAGGTCCAAGTCGAACCCCAGCTCCAACCTCCACGCAGGTCCAAACGTCGCCGGCAACCCCAGTGCCAACTCCAACTCCAACTCCAACTCCAACTCCGACTGCCACTCGGGCCCCAACCAGGTTAGCATCAACTCGAACCCCAACGCGAAGCCCCAGGTCACCCATGGGAGGTCCCATTCCGTAAACGACATCAAAGTCAACGGGAACCAGCTCAAGCTGGCCCCAACACCGGTCGACGACATCGGGATCGCGGTTAAGGACATGAAGGACCTCAAACCAGGGTTCCGGGCGCCGATCGTCCTCTCCGAGGAGTTGTAATTCCATCGGATAGCAGGCTTTGCATCCGAGGTGACCCCCAGCCAGGTGGGAACCTGCTGGGAGGTGGTCCAGAGGTGGCGGAGCCAGGTCGCCACGTCTTCAGCAACCGGGAGGCTTCAGGGATCATGAGATTCATTGCTGGAGGGAGGCCTTCTCCACGCACATGGTCTCTTCGGCAAAGATAAACGAAGTTGGCTACAAACGTGAGGTTCCTAGACCTTGAGGAATTAGGTGGAGGTACCTTGAAGATGCATTTTGGTTGTCATTAATGTGAGCGCCCTACACCTTGGATGAAGGTGGGCGCGGAGTACCTCCAAGGTGGAAGTTTGGCCAAATTTTTGCGACGACTGTGCAGCGACCCTGAAACGTGGTGAAGACCACCTTGACCTTCCTCCACCTTGGTCTCGGTCGGTACCGACCTTTGACTATCGTCGAGGTAAGTGGCAGCGATACCTACGAGATCGTCGCTCGGCAACGTTTTCACTTTTGTACCTCTCCCCTAGAGGGGAAAGAGCCCAGGGCGCTCGACACCTGTCGGGTCGAGCGCAATACCGATCGAGATACCGCTTTTTCACTGGAAATTAAATCACTTTTTTGAGAATCCTCAACAGAGCCACCTTCAGCCTGCACCTGACCAGCCAAACGTCGAGGCTGGAGGTGGTTTCGCGCTTTGGCGAGACCTTAATCTGAAATATCCCGGTTCAAGGTCAGCCGTGCCGCCTCTCGCGTTTTCGACCTCTGGCCGGCTATCACGAGTAGATATTAGCGAGTAGATTGCAGAGGCGGGATCGGCGATCTAGGCACTACCTTTCACGACCAATCCGATTGATAAGGTCGCTCGCTCCTCGATACGAGATCGAAAATTCCCCGGAAATCGCCGAAGAAGATGCGAAAAAATGGTAAAAAAAAATCGGAAAAAATCACAGAAAATCCCGAGCAATATCTCGGGATTTCGCGTCTAGGAGTCTTCGACGTAAGTTATGAGAAAGGCACTTTTTGTGATCGATACCATCGATATCGGTACTCGATACACCTGCCCTCGGGGCCGATCAGCCGTCGATATATCGAACGCTCGCGACATTCCCCTGCCAGTCGACAAACGCACCTGCTCAATCTCGCTTTAAGCCGGTTTTACAGCCGCATCCGACCTCCGACAAGTGTGTTCGCGGTTTTTTGTAAACTTTGTAAAACCCTAGGGAAATCCCCCCAAGACGGCGGGCGGCATTTTTCGAGGGGCGCGTCCGTATCGCGCAGAGACACCCTTCGCTGATTAATTCTCCAAGACTGATACGAGTCGTTTGTCGATATAATAATTAGGTGGGAGCGGTAATTAAATAAGGGAGACTTATCGTTAAAGGGCTGTCGAACCCCGGGGACAGGTGCGATTTACCCTTCACTCACCTGGGGGAGTGCCGCCCTTCTTTCGGGGAGGGTCTCGGAGGTTCTTATCAATCTCACACGAGATTATAGATTTGAATTTAGTCCTTCCTGGAGAGTCGACGTTTTACTTTGAGGGAAATTGTCAGGAAGGAAGGGAAAAAAAAAAATAAAAAGAAAAAAGATCAAGGGGGAATGCGGAAAATTTGGAACCCGACGATGACCTCCGAGGGAGAGGGGCCTCCCCTGGAGAACGGTCGAAATATATTATCGATAAGCTTTAGATATTTAATTAAGCATCGATCCGAGGACTCGGAGGGGTCCTCATAACCAGGGGTGTCGGAGCTGACACTCGGATACCAAAGTACCGCGCTTTTAAGGAGCTACGCTTTTAAGGCGATGTCTAAGCCGTTCAATATGTGCACCAAGGCGGCAATGTGCGAACCTCGCCCCCAGAAATGTGCAACTTTTCGAGGGTTTGCTACTTTGTGAGGCTCCAGAGGGATACTCTGTTTCTTAAGGGGGTTCAATCTTGTGAGACCCCAAGAAAATTCAGAATAACTTTCATCGAGGGAGTGCAATGTTGCGCCCCCTCCCCCTCGAAAAAAATTACACCGTGGATTTTTTATGGGATTATCGTTTTGTAGCACTTTAGAAGAGCAAACAGTTGAAGTTCTATCGTGGAACTGGAAGTTTTGCGAGTTTTGCGATAAGAATTTTCCGATGAGTATATATGAGTTTAAAAAAAAAAAAGAAGAAAAACACGGTGGGATTTATAGAGGGGCTGCGAAATGTTTAGATTCGGCAGATGTATCTTAGGAGGATAATTTCGCATGATTGTTCCATAAAACTGGAGTCTTACGAGGCCCTGAAATTCGGACCCACCTGGGGGTGCACTTTGGCCGTCGGCGTCGCGACGTCTATTTTTCAGCGAACGGTCCTAAGGAGGGGACTGTCGCGTCGCCAGTCGGCGTGGTGATATTATAATCGAGCGTAATTACGACTTATAATTACCGAGTCTAGCGTAATCGTGGACTCGACTAAGACTTAGAACGCGGTCAACCAAAGAGCTAGGCTGTCCCCTAATTTAACCCTTTGGCTACTAAGAGCGCCTAAAGGCGCCCGACGTTTGGTCCAATATTGCCTGCACGGTCAGAGGAATTTCGCCCGTATGTCGAAATGGCTCCGTGTTCAAAGGGTTAAGGGGGTCGAATAATCGTCGAGGCACCTGTCAGGTCGGTCGCGCGGTTCCTGGGGATGGAAAGAGAAAAAAAGTCCCCAGGGAAAGATGTCTCCCCTAGATCGAGAGAATGAAAGAAAAAAAGATAAAAAGGAAATAGAACGAGAATTCGATGAGGACGAAGAAGGGCGAAAGATTCGGACGACTCCTCGACGGGATCGACGAATCCCAGAGGGATCGAAAAAAGGGGGTGATTTTGGGGATTGTGACTTTTCTTTTTCGTTTTTTTTTTGCTCGAGAAAAGGGAGGGGGAGGAATCGACGCGGGACCGCGACAAGGGAGGGCCTTCGGAAACTGCCAAATTTAGGGAGGAACGACGCTCGTTCGCGGGCCCACTTTTTATCGTTATTCATATTTGCGAGGAGACGTTTCCTGTTTTTTTATTTTTTTTCCGCGCACGTCGATTGTATCGATAGGTAGTACTCGGTAGGGCGGTACCTTTGATGAAGCTCCTCGACCGGCCAAAGGACTATCAAGGGTCCTTTTTAAGGACCTTGAGGTCGAGCCTAGATATTCTGCATCGCACAAATCTCCGAAAGACGCGGTCTAATTAGTGGAAGGTCCACCGTGGATGACGCGGAAAAATTCCTGAATTTTAATTCCTCTAATCAAGGAATTATCTGATTTTTCACACTATCAAGGGAACTTCTATTTAACTCAGGATTCTTCAATTATTTATCTAAAAAAAATCTATCCTTTTGTGTTGAATTACTTTCTGGATCTTAAATCTTGAATTCAGGAATTTTTTACTTTTTTTCATTACCAAGGATTTCCCTCAGGAACTTTCAATTATTTAACTTAAAGATCCATTGTTTTGTGTTGAATGATTTTTGCGAATTACAATTTTTTTTCTTTTTAATCCATGAATTTTGTAATTTTCCGTCTTAACGATGGAACATATGTCGAAATGGCTCCGTGTTCAAAGGGTTAAATAAAGATTTATAAACTTTTAATTCATATTTCACGTCTCGGGACTATGCTAGTTTAGTCGCATTTCCTCGTTTTTCTAACATTTCTATCATTCATATCGTCCATGTGACATAATCGCGCACCACGGTGGACGTTTCCGTGGAAAGCCGAGAAAGAAAAAGAAACGGAGAGAAAGAGAGAAAGCCGGGCAAATCGCGCGCAAAGCCAGGAGAAATTCCGGACCAAACGACCGCACGAATAATAAGGCTTACCAGAAAGACTTACGTTAATTAATCCAGCGATCGTAGCCGGGAACAATGACGGCGAATTGTCATTCGGGTCGCTCGTCGATACCAATCCTGAATACCTTATGTGATTAGCGGTCGAGCATTAATATTAACAATAGGATGAGCGTAGGCTAGCATCGGTAGGCACTGTATTTAAAGGGTTAACTAATTAGTTAATTTATTAAAACGGCCACCAGGAATCAGTTCGAGACCGAGGGGGGAATCGACCCCCCAACACCAAAGAGCCGATCGATCGATCGATCGGTCATCGACGATCTGCAATGAGGAAACGATTCCGATCGTTCCGCACAATTTTTTCTATGTGTTTTTACAGTATCCGGACTTTTAATGTCTCTATGTATATCTTCGTCGCACTCGCGATAACGATAAACCCTTTCCAATAATCAATGGTCGATATTAATCGTTCTTTGTCGCGCCGCGTTATCACCGTTCTCTTCCATTATCGCGCGTTTTGGTGTTCGATCTCTGCTCGTCAATTATTTCGCGATACTCGATCGGGTCGGCCATTTTGTCGCGTTATCGAGGACTACACGTTTCCCCCTTTTTCACCAATTTTTTTTACTCGTGATGTTTCTTCTTTTTTTTTCATTTTATCGATGTCTACATTTTCTCGTGTACATTTCTTTAATCTAATTGTTCTACACATTTTGGGTCACGTTCTAATTCTTACGACTATCATTGAGAAATTTTTTTTACTCGTGATGTTTCTTCTTCTTTTTTTTTTTTTTCATTTTATCGATGTCCGCACTTTCTCGTGTACACCTCTTTGAGCTAATTGTTCTATACATTTTGGGTCACGTTCTAATTCTTACCAGTATCATTGATAAACGTCTGTTCATAATCTCTGATGACGATCCAGAGAGTCGAAAGTGAATTTCTTCCGAGGGGGGGAAGGAAGGGTGCGAAGAAATGGAGGAAATTTGGGGGAAAAAAAGGAATATTTATCGCTTGATAAGAACTGATTCCGGAGACTCGAAAAGGGATTTTTTTGTTTCTCAAGATCAAGATAGGAAAAGGGAATGAGATAAAGGATGCAAATCCGAGGTTGCAGTTGGGGCGTGGGAGGGAGGGGTGCGAAGAAATGAAGGAAATTTTGGAGAAAAAAGGAATATTTATCGCTTGATAAGAACTGATTCCGGAGACTCGAAAAGGGATTTTTTTGTTTCTCAAGATCAAGATAGGAAAAGGGAATGAGATAAAGGATGCAAATCCGAGGTCGCAGTTGGGGCGTGGGAGGGAGGGGTGCGAAGAAATGGAGGAAATTTGGGAGGGAAAAAAATAAGAAAAGGAATATTTATCGCTTCATGAGAACTGATTCCGGGGCCGTCGCCCTATACAGGCACTGTATATTTCGAAGCTGCATTATTTTGAATAAACGCGCTAACACGGGGAGAATCGCGCGTGTAGGGTCGACTCCCTCGGCAGCTATTGTGGCAGCTCCGGGACGGGGTGTGAAATCGCGTAATCCGTTGAGTTTAGGTAGCGGTGTGATATTATACATACATCTCTATACATACGTATATATATATATATATATATTTAAATATAAATACATAAATGCATGGACGCGCGCTCGGATTAAGGAGCGCTCACCCGCGCTCGGTTTAAGGAGCGTTCACCCGCGCTCGGTACGCACCCCGTCCGCTTCTCTAAACGCAGCAATATTTGCGGGCATTTACTTATCAACTCGCAAAACGATACACGTGGCGCTCCCGAAGAAGATGGTAATTTAAAGAAGAAAACGGCGAGAATATGTAAGACGGCGGAAATGTGTAACGAATGGGGATGAAATCTGGAACTCGCCCCCTCGGAAAATCAGGGGCGTCGAGGACTCGGCGTTTCGACTCTTTCTCGCACTGTATTTCCTCTCGTGACAATATTTTGTAGGCCGAGGTGGCTGGAAGGTCTTGCCCGAAAAATAATGCGTTTTTTTTTTTAATCAGTCATCTGGATTGCAAAAGGGCCAGAGGGTGGATAACGGAGGTGGGTCTCGCGAAACTCCGGTAGGGGTGATTTTGAATCTTTCTTGAATTGCTCGGGGGAGTTGATCGAGAGATTTATCGAGAATTGTTTTAGGAAAGGGGAGAAGTGGAAATCCAAAATGGCGGGGTGAAGGAGCGGAGGCCACCCTCGGGAGGATTTTTCCAGCCGCCTCTTAGATTCTAACTTTAAGCTACTTTCTCGACGTCTCGAGTCGAGGAATTCCTGTCCCGTCGCATTTTCCGTTTTCTCCTTCTATTGTCCCTTTTTTTTCGCCCTGGTTTCTCCCTTTTTACTTTCTTTTTTCCCTGCGACCTTCTAGCCCGAGGTCGCCGGGCGAGGTTTCCGCCCTTCCGAAGTTAGTGACCGCTCTCCGGGGGTGTAAATAGGGAAATGTAAAATTGGGGAATGATTGTCGTCGGATTTGTAATTAGAGGACATTTGATAGAGTTGTGAAGACAGAGAATTCCTATCTGTATCGGCTGGCGGAAGCGACGCTCCCGGCGGCCATCTTGGTTCCTCCGGTTCGACTCTTCCTTTTCGAGTTTCCCTCGTAAATGCTCGAAAAAAACGCCTCGCCCTTCTCCCGGATATTAAGTTTACCTCGAGGGAGCTGCTTTCTTCCTTTTTTCATCCGTTTCTCTCTTTTTTCTCGTTTAAAGCCCTCCTCGACGTTCAGTCGCCGCGTAACGACTATGTGATGCGTGCACCAAAATGGCGGCACCTCTTACAGCCGGAATTTGCGTGCGCGGTGCTCGAGCAGACCTCGCTATAACGAATGTAGTTCCACGTTCCATTGTCACTAGACCTAGAGATTAGTGAAATTAGCTCTAGGGACTAAAATGGCGGGAGAGATGGCGCCAAAGAAATGGCGGTGACACCATTCGACACGATATTTCTAACCCTCGCAAGTACTCGCCCGGAGTTCCTCATACCTCGACAAGGGGCCTTAGATTAGATAAAGGCCCCGCGACGGATTTCCCCTATATTTTCCAACTCTTGCGATATTAGTAACCCCGCAATTTACCCGTACGTAGGACACTTGCGTTCCTCTGACGCTTCTCGCGGCCAGGCGGCATAAGAAAAGGCGGCAGTGAGTCTTAGAAATAGAAATATAAGAACTAACCTCAAAAAGAGAAAAGAAAGGGAGATGATCCGCCGATTAGCGCAGCCTGAGGGGAAAGACAAAATGGCGGCCATGACGCTATGTCCAAAGGATAATGAACTCGTCCTCTCGTTCGTAACCTCAATTACCTCGAATTAAGTGACATTCTCTTGGTGTTATTCAGTGTTTCGCGATCTTACCCGCCACTTTTACTATGTTTAGTGTTTATTCATGTTTATCTCGATGATATGTGTGGGGTTTTTATGCCACGTGGTCGCCATTTTCGGGCCGATGGTTGCGACGAAGGATTTTGAAAGATTCCGTAGCATGGCGTTTAAAGTGCCAATGTTTAAATAAAAAATAAAGAAAAAATACTCACTCCCGCCTGCACTCGGTGTGATTTTTAGAGGAGAGGTAATTTCGTCTTACTATACATGTGTGATTAGATACGAAAGAGTGAGGCGTGTGATCGTTTTATCATTTCGTTTTTCACTTTCGAGACCTTCCGAGAGATTCCGACGACCGGGACTCGACGAGGCGACGATCAACCGCTGTGATGGGCGTTTTTAATATGCAATAATTGTTTTTTTTTTTTTACCAGATCCTTATTTATATATATATACACGTACATGTAAGAAAAACCGAGAAAGAGAAGCCCCTAGTCAGCGCATTAGAGAAAACCGATAATTTTGGATAAATCAGCGGTCGGTCCTTCTCGGCGAGTCCCTCGAAGAGGAGATTTACGTATCGAGATTTCTGCAGCAATTAAATGTCCGCGTATAAATATTAAGATGATAGTCTTCGGAGGGGAGGATTTTAATTCACTATTTATCGGAACGAAAGGTATACGCGGCGTTTCGCTGCCTCCGTAGCGGAAGCCGGAAAATTATTAATTAATTTATCAGAGAGCGGGGGACGAACGACGATTTTTATTTTTCGTTACGTTCCGTGTTCTTTTTTTTCTCATTCATTTTTCTTCCTTTTTAATTCTTCCTTTCATCTTTGGTTTTCAGTCATTCCGAACTTAATGGGGATTTAATCGAGAGCAGAGAGCTTGGCTCGTTTTCTCAACGAGATGTGTTGTCAGGTGTACATTTAGGATCTCGCATCGTCGATTTCGGGAAGAGCTGATAACAGGGTCGTCCAAAATCAAAATCGCTGATATGAACAGCTGATCGCTTGTATGAACAGCTGATCGCTCTTCCGAAGCTCTCATTAACGTCGTTAGGCGCGCTCTAGGGACATATTTTAATCTGATTCAGCCTGATTAGTCGCAGACTTCCTATGTTCTCGCATACGTTATATTTATTATTGTTCATGTTTATTAGAATTATATGTATAAATATATACATAATAAATCAGAGACTATTATGTGGATTTCCGTGGACTGCGACAGCGATTAGGCCGGCACTGCTACGGGGAAGAAAAAAAGTTCCGTCATATTCTAATTAAATAACCAAAGGATATTAGATCACTTGAACAATCATTAGACTATTGATACTATTTAAAACCACGCAATTTGTGCACTTTATTAATTTCAAGAAATCATTCTTCCTCGTTTAGGAAGTGCCGGCTGTCGTCCGACTAATTCCTGACCTTTTCCCCTGTTCCTTCCAAAGTGAAAAAAAAAAAAATAAAACATGCAATATCTCTAAATCCACATTAATGATGTTTGTATTAACAATTTTTAAACGTATTTGTATTTCTTCTCGCCAAAACCATATAAATTTGGCATAATGACAGATACGATCAGAACTCGGTAATTGCACGTTTTTATTTCTATGCCGAAATTAACTCGCCATTTCTCCATTATCTTACACTGTTAAAAGAAATATTAAAATATTAATATACAATCGATCATATGGCTGAAAACTCATATAAAGGAAAAATTATAAACAGTACGTATTAAATGACATCCGAATATCAAATTAGTCATATCTCTCCGCAGTTTGACGGAATGACGACGAGATGTTATAAAATTTCAAGTTTATTTAGAATGTCGGGATAAATGTACACCAACTCGCTATTGAGACATCGAATTTATAATTTCTTTTTTTTTTTTAACAGTACGGAATATGCGGTTAGTCCTTGATTTCTATTTTCAAGTGTCGGGAATCTTTTTCAGCGTAGTACGTCCAAGAGCACGGTAAACGCGACTCGAAAAATGGTAAATTGGGTAAACCAAATATCCAAAGTGAATTGGATTTATCGAAGTTGGCAGGAGCCCTTATCTTACAGACTCGAAAAATGGTAAATTGGGTAAACCAAACATCCAAAGTGAATTGGATTTATCAAAGTTGGCAGGAGCCCTTATTTAATTGGGTAAACCAAACATCCAAAGTGAATTGGATTTATCAAAGTTGGCAGGAGCCCTTATTTTACGGACTCGAAAAATGGTAAATTGGGTAAACCAAACATCCAGAGTGAATTGGATTTATCGAAGTTGGCAGGAGCCCTTATTTCACGGACTCGAAAAATGGTAAACTGGGTAAACCAAACATCCAGAGTGAATTGGATTTATCGAAGTTGGCAGGAGCCCTTATTTCACGGAATAGGATTTTCCCGAGGCCACCGGACGGCGGGATTCCCGAGGGAAGGGAAAGGGGAAGTGCATTTTCGAAAAAGGCGAGCCAACAGGGACCCCGCGTTTGTGTTTTGAATAATTCTCCTTCCTCTTCTCTGGCAAAGAGAGAGAGGAGAGAGACGGGGCCGCAGGGTAAGCAGGCGGGTCGGCAAAGATGCTAATTAACCAAGTTTCGGTCTTAACAAAGTTTTTCGATTAGCCGGCAAATTGTTGCACGATGCCCAGGAGTTTTCCCCTCCGGGCTGGGCGGACCTCGTTAGATTTGTTTTACCGAGCAGACCGGAAATCGCGGATCGCGCGAATACCGCGGGAAATAATGGAAACTCTCGCGGGGAGGGGGGGGGGGAGTAAGGGGGGCCTTCGTCGTAC